GCAATATTCGCGCAAAGGACATTGGGTAGTGCAGGAATTCTGGGAATGTTGCACAGAGAAATTTGGCTGACGTATGTACAGATTTCAATCCGAATTTCCTCTGTTCTTACACGTTAGTCTATTGAGCTCGCGACGCTCGCTGCGCTCGCTATAATATTAGAGTTTAAATGTGTAATCAGGAAATTCAAAAACATGTTTAAAGGCCGAGATTTTTAACCGTACGGTTTTCTCAGGTAAGGGGAGGGACTAAATTTTACAAGCGTGGTACCCCGAGGCATTGATGGTCGTGCAGACCGTGGGAAGCGCTAATCCCTATACACAAACAGTATACACAGGAAGTCAATGAGTATTACCTGTCTACGATATGTACCTCATATTGTTTGTCACAGCCGCAATGACTTGAGTTCGTTGTTAAAAGAAATATAATGAAATACAGGTATAAATTCAACAGTAAAACACTCATCCTTGCCTGTCCCTTTCAAAATCTTAAAAACTATTCATAATTATCGTAAATATCCTAGCAATTAGATCTTCAATCACGGTCAAATAGAATCAGTTACTCCCCGTTTGTATAAAAAGTCGCGTGGTCCTATTTTTAGCAAATGTACATTCTGTATCTTGTGAAAAATTCGCCATAACGACTGTTTCGTTAAGTTAAAATTACATACAAATGTGTGTATTTTATCGATAAGTAAATTCAGATTATAATTTAAAAACTTACAACAAAATCTTGATTTATTGCTAACTTCTGTATTTCTTTTAAAACTATTTTTAACACCTGTGACCTTGAACGGAGGTAAGAAAGCACGTAGCAAGAAATGCTCGGTTATAAAAAGGGAAAAGGAAAAGAAAAAACTCTAAATACTGTAATACTTGTCCAGGCGAAGTTGTTACTAATCAGACATTTTGTTTTCAACCTTACTATCCATTTCAAGCAAAAAATGTTACCAGGTTATTTTTTCCTTTATTTTCATCGTAATTTTTTCGCTGCGTCTCGAACCAAGAATCTTTTTACGAGTAAAAACAAAAAGCCACCTATGCACTTTTCATTAAAATGTAAAATTACATGATCTTGATTTATTTTATTGAAACACTTTGAGAACATTTTCATTTTTCAATGTTTGTAATACATATAATTATAATCAATTATAATCAAGCTAAAATTGTTTGCATCGAAATGACCCCTCATTGGGATGGCAATTTAGCGGTAAACATTAAAAGACCAAAAGTTAATTTGATGGTGGCCACGCGTGTCAAACAAGGTGAAAAAGATATACACGGGGACTAGCAGCTAAATGTCAATCATTTTCAAGTACCCAATGATGGACCTTAATTTATTTGATTGACGGGGGAATCCAGACCAGGTAAATCTGAAGGCGGTGCTTATTATCTCGGGCTCTAACATATGTGGGATGTAATTATCAACTGATTCTATACGCGGGAGCATGCTCTGCGTTTGGACAATTTAAAAAAAATGAGGCAAACTATTGTTAAACAAGTTGGTTGAGTGTTACTACAAAATATTCAGTTCAAGGTATCCGTGGTTAGTTATGGTGACCAAAAAATAAATCTACATTACCCTTAATTTCTCCCCCTTCTGTATGTCAATTCAAAATGAATATGACATGGTTTTCGGCGCTCATGAAACCCGTGATATTTGAAAACTATATGTAATGTGTACGAAGATCTGTGTGCAGAAGATCTATATCAGTGGAACCATGATGATAAAATTGATGAAAATCGGACTGCTCGGTAAAATTATATTCACAATTGTATTATTACGTATGCATTATTGTTTTTTTTTTCGAAAGGAAGATTTCAAGTTTGTTTGTTCACGCTTACTATGCGGAAAATACCTTATTCTTCTTATATTTTCATTTTACTTCTAAACATTTTGTGTCAAAGATATTTTGACAATATTATTATATATTATGACAATATTATTCATATATTATGAAAAAAAAAAAAAAAAGCACGTTTTCTCCTTTTCCTTTGAAAAATGTTTTGAGTTTGTAAAAATGTTTTTTTTTTTGATTGGACAGAAAATTATTTACTTATATCTGATGTATATTTATAGAAAAATTCAGTAATCTAGTTCTTAACATCTATATTTGGAAATCGCCCGGACCTGTTAAAATAAGGGAAACTTCCTTGATATAGTATCTTTTCGGCTTGATTTTATATTTAAATAAATACAATGTATTGAGAGCTATTCTGTTTTTTGTCATATCAATATTTAAATGATATATTTGGACTGACACAGAACATTCATGAGTATGTATGAGATTAAGTTAAGTTTGATAACATTTTTTTTCTATAAAATTCAGGAAAATTCTTTCTGCATGTATCAAAAAAGCATGTCACGTAAAATTTACTAGTATTTAAATATGAAAATTGACCCGGCATTATATATATATATATATATATATATATATATATATATATATATATATATATATATATATATATATATATATATATATATATATATATATATATATAAATTCAACATTTACAGTCAAAATTTTGGAATGCTAATTAAATGCTTTATAAATACAGGTGATACAAAGAAACAAAAAATTGAAACATGTATTATTATACTGTAAATGTATTATATTAAGCGTGTAAGATATTTGGCGGAAATGGGCTTTTGAATAAGTTAGCGTAGATTTGATTTAGCGCATTTCTTCTTATTCTTATCTATGTGTTTACGTGCAAGACATTTAGCTATGTACTTGATTTACGTTTGTTGCGATCCACCAAAGCCGATAAAAATAATACACAGCCAAATATAATACGTTCAGAGTATATCTAGGCCTATTTTGTTGCAAACTAAGAATCTAATAAATTTCTGAAATATTACGTAATTGTTAATCATCTATGATGATCAAAATTCTACCTTTCTGTAACCATCCTAATTTACCTTAAATTCCATTTTTGTGGAACTTTGAATAAAAAATCTAAAAGACAAAAAAAAGCGGTGAAACTTTTTTTTCATATTATTCATATAAACAATTGACTCAAGTTGTTCTTTCCAAATTTTTTGACAAAGGTTTCTTTGTATCATCTGTCCTTAACTAATACATTTTGAATGCTTATTATTTAATTTTGTTCAATTTTATTTATTCTAATTCTTCTAATATAAAGAGACATTTTCAAAATTGTATTCGTCAAATGTTTCAGATATCAGAGCATAATTAATAGAAAGCTGCGCCACACAATACCAAGATAATACAAAGAACCATCCGCTACATATTAATGATCTGTGCAGTTTATAGTGAGGATTTTCATTTTTTTTTTACTTTAAATTTGAAGGTGTAAGTCTGTATTCAATTAAATTAACTTCCTTCAAGCATTATATTATTTTCTAGTTGTAGAATGCGCGAGCGAGAGGCAATGCAGAGTAGTATCTCATGAAGATGAATGTGGCAATCAAGGCTTGTTGTGGGATTGTAGTCAGCTCAACTTAGAAAAGATACCTACCAGACAAATTAAACAACCATACACTTATGTTTGACCTCTATCATAATAATTTTAACTCAATATATCCCATGACATTCCAAGGCATTCATTTAAATCTAAGTAGAATAACAGCCTTGAATTTTAACCATAACAAGCTAAAAATCGTAGTTAGAGATTCTTTTAAGTTACTGCAGAATTTATGTGTCCTCAATATTTCTTTTTGTAATCTTACAGATTTTGCTTTTGAAGATAACTCTCATCTTAAAAAGTTGAGAATTTTGACAGTTTAGGGTTAGGGTTAATTTCAATTTATGGCAACTCATTTACAAAATATCCTGATGTCGAATTATCAAGCCTTTTTTCTTTGGAGAAACTACAGATCGATGTGTTTAACGTCTTTCGATTCAAAGAGTCGTTCAAACGTCTGAAAGAATTAAGAGAATTGAATTATTCTCTTCGTCACTCTTTCACATACACAAAGACAGCTTTAGTGGATAATCTCAATACCTTGACAATGCGTTTCAAGGAACATGTTCTTTGTGATATCTGCGAAGAGATTTTCTGCTCGTTTCCATACCTACAGGGTGTAGAAACTTTGGGGGGTTGTGTGACATGAATATAGTTATTAGAAGTTTAAAATGCTTGCAAAATCGATCCATGGAATACATTATTGCTAACGAAAATTTCCCCTACTTCTATATAAAGCCTTTCTTTTTTAATGATAGTAACAGCAAAAATCTTTACAGCATTTGTGTCAAAAATGTTATTCTTGTAAATGACGGTATCTTTGGCATTGATAAAAATCCCCAGGGTACTAATATGGGGAACTGTATGGAATTACTTAATATCGGCATGAATAGAATAAGATTTTCAGACCTACCCGTAGGATTAGACCTGCTACAAAACTTTCCCAAACTTCCCTATCTTGATATTAGTGCAAACCCCAAGATGAAGTCTTTGGAAATATTTAGCAATTTTCCTCAATTGAACTTTGGTTGGAATTTAACGATAAAATTTCCTCTTTCAAGGGAGTTAAAAGTTTTAAGTTTTGCCGATAGTTACTTCCATAATATCAAGTTGAAAGACCCTTCTTTATTGCGCATAAATATTAGTGGTGAAAAATTAGAACAGGTAAATTTAACTAAAACAAATTTTCCTATACGATACATTTTTGATCTTGACACACCGAATTTAGAAATTCTTAATATTACTAACAACCAGTGCCCTACGACATACCCTCATGTATTGGAAAAAGCAACAAAGCTTAAAAAATTTGTTGCCAGAAATATAAATTTAAAGTTTGATGGTTTGGAAAGAATATTCTACAATCTTGTAAACCTTGAAGAACTAGACCTGCAAAGGGGCAGTTTTTACAACTTTCCACCAACATTATTAAAATATCAAACATTTTTAATGTCTCTAAATGTAGATGGCAACCAATTTTCATCTTTTCCAATTACACTGACATATTTACATAATTTAAAACAGTTGTACATTCGCTCTAATAAAATTGCATGGATCACAGAGTCAGATTTTATAATGCTTAAGAGATTAAGAAGGACCGAGATTTTTGTTCGTGGAAATCCTATAACCTGTGATTGTTTACACATCCAATCACTCTGATTGATGAAGGAAATTCAGTACTTGTTTACAGATCTCAATGAAACCGTATGCAGGGAAAAGAATATAACAGTGTTAGAACTGCTAACAGAAAGGGGGTTTGCAAAATTTGAGAAAAATTGTCAGACAGGAACTTGGCTGGTCGTCTCTTTTTCCATGTTAACAATTTTAACTGTTGCAATCACTGTCGTTTTCCTTGTGAAAAAATATCGTGTTCATGTTGATTATGTTATTCTGAATTTACGTAGCAGATGGAAAGGCGTTTATTCCGTCGAAAGTGGGGACTATGGGTTTGATGCTTTTATATCTTATGCTGAAGATGACTACAGAATTGTAAGCACTACATTATATCAAACGCTAACACAAAGAGGATTCCAGATAAGTTTTCCGGATAAAGATTTCATTCCTGGAATATCCAAAGCGGATGAATTGCTACGGTGTGTTGACAAAAGTAGAAAAGTTGTGTTTATTATCACTGAAAACTTTCTTGCAAATGGTTGGAATTCATACGCCGTCCAGATGACGGTAACTCATTCGTTTCATAATAATCGAAAACAATCCATCATAGTGATAATTAAAGACAATATAACCATACAAAGAATGCCAAAAGACTTACGATATATCTGGTGGTCCATTGTAAGTATAAGGTGGCCAGAAGCAAGTGAACTGATGGACCAGTTTTAGGATGAACTTGATCGTGCCTTAAAATCGGTTTAAATTGCTATGATACATGTAGCTGTTGTAAATTAATGTGATTTTTCCAAAACCTAGCAAAATGCAACAGGCAGGAATTTTAAGCGTTGTTTTAATGCTTTTTAATGACAATATGCTTCTGAATGATCTTTTTGCATATCACTTGTATTTGAAATTTGTTCTCTTTATTTGAAAGAAAATTGCCTGAAAAATTTCTTCTGTGTTTTGAAAAAATAAAACAACAAAATTAATAAAAATTGATTCATTGGAAATTCTGTGTGTGGCTTCTCTTTTAATTAAAAAATTGATAAAAGGGGTGCTTCGTTACAATTAGAACTTTTGTACATATTATATGAACGAGAAAGTGGAAGGACAGTCGATTGATATGAGATTACATCATTTGGTAAAAATTGTAACAGTGAGAAGAAAGAAAGGCATACTGTAACACCATCAAGTTTTTCTGCTTGGTGTTCAAAGGTCCTACTAAATGGCACGCCAAATTCACAAAAATGAGCTAAACCTAGTTTCACAATTGATAAAATAGGTTTATCGACTGTAAACTATAGTTTACAAACCGTAAACTACTGATAACGATTCGTTAAGCATAGTTTTCATCTGTAAAACTATATTTAACGGTTGTTAATTATAGTTTACGAATGCTAATCTAAGTTTATCTGTCTGTAATAAAACGTTAACAATAGATTTTGTTGATAAACATAGATTTACGTCTGTAAGCTATAATTTACGATCGTTAACTATAGTTAAGAGTTGTAAACCATAGTTTACAAATCGTGAAACTGTATTTATCAGATAATCTATGTTTTGCGATCGCAAATGATCGATTGTTTTTGGTGTTGAGTATAATTTATGGTTGTGAAACATAGATTATCACGTTAACTATGGTTTACAGATGTAAAATATAGATGAACGTTGTTAACTATAGTCAACAGTCCGTAAACTATAGTTTACAACCGATTAACCTAGTTTATCGACTGTGAAAATATGACTAGCTCATTTTTGTGAATTTGGCGTGCTAAACATAGTTTCACAATTGATAAACTAGGGTTATCGACTGTAAACTATAGTTTACAAATCGTGAACTATAGTTTACAATTCGTTAAGTATAGTTTTCATCTGTAAAACTATATTTAACGGTTGTTAACTAAGGTTTACGAATGCTAATCTAAGTTTATCCATAATATGGCACGCCAAATTCACAAAAATGAGATAATCATAGTTTCACAATTGATAAACTAGGTTTATCGACTGTAATCTATAGTTTACAAACCGTAAACTATAGTTAACGATTCCTTAAGTATAGTTTTCATCTGTAAAACTATATTTAACGGTTGTTAACTATAGTTTACGAATGCTAATTTAAGTTTATCTGTCTGTAATAAAGCGTTAACAATAGACTTTGTTGATAAACATAAACAATCGTAAACTATAGTTAAGAGTTGTTAATCATAGTTTCACAACTTGTGAAACTATATTTATCAGATCGTTAACTATAGTTAACAGTTTGTAAACTATAGTTTACAAATCGTGAAATCAGATAATCTATGTTTTGCAATCGCAAATGATTGTTTTCGGTGTTAAGTATAGTTTACGGTTGTGAAACATAGATTATCGCGTTAACTATGGTTTATGTGAAATATAGATTAACTTGTTAACTATAGTTTACGGTATGTAAACTATAGTTTACAACCGATAAACCTAGTTTATCGATTGTGAAACTATGATTATCTCATTTTTGTGAATTTGGCGTGCCATATTTATCTGTCTGTAAAACGTTAACAATAGATTTTGTTGATAAACATAGATTCACGTCTGTAAACTATAATTTACGATCGTTAACTATAGTTAAGAGTTGTAAACCATAGTTTACAATCGTGAAACTGTATTTATCAGATAATTAATCTATGTTTTTCAATCACAAATGATTGTTTTTGGTGTTAAGTATAGTTTACGGTTGTGAAACATAGATTATCGTGTTAACTATAGTTTACAGATGTAAAATATAGATGAACGTTGTTAACTATAGTTAACAGTCCGTAAACTATAGTTTACAACCGATAAACCTAGTTTATCGACGACTGTGAAACTATGATTAGCTCATTTTGTGAATTTGGCGTGCCATATTGGTCAGAGTTTTTTTTAACTTGATTTGCGGTTAGAAAGGTGTCCATAGTCGTCCACCTGCCTGTTTGTCTCTATGCCCGTGACTAGTTGACGATATCGGGGGGGGGGGGGGGGGGGGGGGGGGGGGGGAGGGGGGGTGTTCAAATCAGAATGCTTTAGTCCTCCTGGCTGCAGGTTTTGGTGTGCATCATGTCAAGAAAACTTTTACACAAGTACACTTCAGTAAGACATGTTTTTCTGTTGGTCTTTTTTTTTATTAGTATACCAATGAAGGTGTTGTCATGGTTACTTAATTAAAAGAGTTTTGTTGAAATTTTTGTAAAACTCTGCTTCTGCACTTTTTATCTTAAAATACATGTACGGCCCAAACCATCACACATGTCATGGGCGGATACAGGATTTGTGATTAAGGGGAGGGGGGTTAACTTCGTTCAGGCAGGTGGTCTGAGAGCCGCCTTAACGCCCCTAGTGGGTCCAGGGCAAAGCTCTGGTGGGGGCCCAGTGGGCAAAGACCCTGGAAGTTCCAGGATTTTTGTGTATTTTAAGAGTAAAACCAGGAATAATGATAGTTGTATTGGTTTGTTATGTATCAAATTATCAATATTAGTCACATCATACTTTGAATGGAGGGGGGCCGGGGGGGGGGGGGGGCATTTAAAAAATTTAAGTCATTTTATTATGTTTATCGAAAAAAAAATTGGTTATCCTTAACGTTTTATTCAGTTTATTTTGTATAGTAAAACTTTCGCCCAAAATAAGAAACAGATGTACATTTGTACGTGTCAGACCCTGCGAATAGCACGGTACATGCATCTTTTTTAATGGATTGTATGACATTGAGAGCCTGGGTGACAAATGCTGGGAATAGAGAATGCAAACTTCTCAGTCTTTTTTAAATGAAATTTCATGAATAGAAAAACATTTTTAAAAGGCCTAGGTGTATTCCAAACTTTTTAAGTAGGACATTTTTTTTTCTTTCCAGAACAAGCAATTTGAAGACATTAAATCATTTATTCCTTATATAGCTGTTCAAAAATAATCCGAGAAAAAAAAAATCCTACCAAATAATGGACAAAGAAGATGGGGGAACAAGGCGTGCAGAATGCCTATAGCTTCAGAGATTAAGAAATCATATTCAATTTTAAAATTTCAAGAGTATTTAAATTAAGTTCTCATTATTGAAATTTATGACATTTTTAGGGGAAAAAACCTTTTCTGAGAAAAAAAAAGTTTCAGAAAAAAAATATTCTTTACAAAATATAAAATGGTATTCCTGGATTTGAACTCTAGCAATAAAAATTAAAATCCAAGAGTATCGTACTGTTTTGAAACTAAAGCGCTAACCATTATGCTACAATTTATGTAATAAAAGTGTACTTTTTTAAAAGGGTATAGTGGGTCTTTGCTCCATGTTTTTGTAAACAAAAAAAGTTATATTTGATTGCAAACTTTTAGGATTATCTTTCAAAAAATGGAGCGAAAACCTACTCATATTGAAAAATTTTGTTAAAGAAAGAGAAATTGATCATTTTTATTCTTTGTAGTGTGTGTATGCTTTTTCATAGGTAAGTTATTTCAGTCTTTTTTGACTGAGATTTTTGTAAATAATAGAGATTTTGCATTAAGTATATATATATACGTTATTAATGTTTACGTTATTAATGTTAGATGAAATATCAAAGAAAATTTGGATATATATATATAATATATGTATATATAATTGAGATCTAATTTTTTTACTTCATATGTTTGTCGCACTATAGGCACTTCGTTCGCCTTGATTATCCTCCATCTTCTTTAAATCTCCATCATAGCAAAAATGAGACATACAATATTGCAGTCATTTAAAAAAAGTAATTTATTTGATTTTTAATTATTTTTTTTAATTTTTGATAATGCTCAGTTACATACGCATACAACGCTAAACATGGTACTTCTTATAGCGAGCGCAGCGAGCGTCGCGAAGCGACGCTCGCGAAGCGAGCTCAATAGACTAACGTGTATGAACAGAGGAAATTCGGATTTAAATCTGTACATACGTCAGCCAAATTTCTCTGTGCAACATTCCCAGAATTCCTGCACTACCCAATGTCCTTTGCGCGAATAAATCAAAAATAGTAAAAAAATTAAAGGAACATTGTTTCTTACCGAAATTTTAACGAAATGATTTTGCCTTACCTTATTCAAAAAAATACCCCAATGCCACAACACCGGCCTTCACCTTGCCCTTCGGAAATGATACAAATGACGTCACCGGAAACTTACGAATTTTGACGAAGTTATGTCGGTTGCTTCCGTGAAACTCGGAAAACATGTTGCGGTGCATAGCAACATGATGGCTAAAACATAGCAACAACTTACTTGAAAAGAACGATTTAATGCAATCTCTTTTCCATGAAACTAGCGTTTGCGTCCTAAGTCAACAGAACTTTTTGTATGACGTCATACTTTCGTCACTTCAACGGTTCGGGTATTTCCGATTTTGTCGGAAACTTCCGAGAAGTTTGGAACTCGATCCCGATGCTTGGGAAATGATTTCTTTTTATTGTTTTGTTTTATTAGGTCTTTCCACCTTTCTGTGGAAAGACCTATTGATTTGCTTATGTTTATTATTATTCCTATTATTTTTCTTCCGCTGATTTTTTGTTTCGACATTTATCGAAAAGACTTTTTGTTCATCGTAAAGGTCATTAAAAGTTAGGAACAAATTTGACCCAACGCATATGAACTATGACCGCTTTCAAAGTTATTGCCCCTTTCGCAAGAAATGCTTGTTATCGCTACTCCTCCGAAACCGTAATCCATAGAAGAATGAAACCTTCACCAATGTCTTCGACTACTTGAAGGGACTCTGGAATCTATTCACTGCGAAAGCATTCGGTGACCCCTTCAATGAGTTACAGCCCCTGAAAGTTTTTGAATTTTAAAAAATAATTAAATATTTTCAAAACGAGAAGTCGTAGCGACATGGGACTAACTGCATTAGATTCATTGACCTTTGATCTTAAAATTCATGTAAAGGTCAAAGGTCAAGGTCATTCAAAAATTGAGAAATTAAGCTCTTTTTATATCTTTTTTTGTCTTTTAACATATACAAACTGTCTTAGCATCATTATTATGCACTTTTAAAACTATTTCAAACATTTTATTCGTATCCCTTAAAATTGACCCTATTAAAAGTTATTGCCCTTTGTGCAAAAAACCTTGTTATTGCTACTACTTCGAAACCGTAAACCGCAGAGACATAAAACCTTCACTAATGTTTTTGACTCCTTTAGAAGACTCTGGAATCTATTCATTGCGAAAATATTTGGTGACCCCTTCAATGAGTTATTGCCCCTGAAAATCTTTGAATTGTACAAATAATTAAAAATTTTCAAAATGAGAAGTCGTTAAGACATGGAACTAACTGCATAAGATTCATTAACCTTTGCTCATAAAATTCATGTAAAGGTCAAAGGTCAAGGTCATTCCAAAATTGAGAAATTAAGCTCTTTTTATATCTTTTTTGTCTTTTAACATATACTTAATGTCTTTGCATCATTAATATGTACTCTTAAACCTATTTCAATGATTTCATTCTTGTCCCTTACGATTGACCCTATTAAAAGTTATTGCCCCTTTTGTGAAAAACCTTGTAATTGCTATTGCTCCGAAAAAGTAAATCGTAAAGACATGAAACCTTCACTTATGTCTTATGGGACTTTAGGCACAACTTTCATGTTCAAGTGAGAAAGGACCTGGTGACTCCTTGAATGAGTTACTGCCCTTTAATTCTTTTGTGCTTTCCATGAAACCTTATAACTTTAAAACTATACGTCATAGAGACCTGAGGTTAATTACAATGTGACCCTTGACCTTTGACCTTGAAAATACCTTGAAGGTCAAAGGTCAAGGTCACCTCCAAATTTTGATTTTTTTTCATTTTTTTCCTTCTTTTAAGCCATTCCTGGTTTCTTTTTTATGAAATTTAATTTTAAAGAGATAAATATTACATGAAATTGAAATACAAAGAAGGTGGAAAGACCTCTTATTGTTCTGTGAACAATAAGTCTCCTAGTTCTTTTTGCTTTCTTTTTCTTGAATGATAGACAGTACATGTGTAGGTTTATGATAGTAAATAAACTGCGCTCGCCCCAACGGTCACACCGTAAAACATATTAACACTTAAAGGGTACAAAAATATTAATCAATACAAACGAATGGAAGAGTAGAAGAAACCTAAAATATTGGTGTCCCCAAAAGTTTTTAGATCCGGGAATTTGATCGACACCGGTCCGTAATTTGTAGTTTTCAAACATTGAGTTGACGCAGATGGGAAGCCGTGTTCGGCTTTGAAAATATTAACATTTACAAAATACGATATTTTTTTTCCAATAGATCTTAGTTTTTTCTTATTTTAAGCAATGTATCATTTCTTCAAGGATTAAAAGTAGTTTAAAAGTGCAGTGGATGAAGATCTAGATGTCATACAATCCTGTTACTTCTGAATTCAACAAAAAATGAAAGAAGTTTTAGAGGTAATTCGAGATTGTTTACTTTTTGTGTTTTAATTCTTTACAATATGCTTAAATATAGCATGAAATTGCAATGCTGATGTTTAACTATATGTGCTACTATAAAAGCAATATTTTTTCTTTGAAAAATAAATTTCACTTCCTTTTTTTCCAGAGGTAGATTGCATTTGAGAGAGAAAAAAAACTGGATTTCTGGTTCAACTTAGTAAATCCAGGAAGGATCTTTAAAATACTGATTTATTTTCAATCAACGATAAGTAAGGAGTATGTTACCAGAGAGGAAAACCAAAGTGGATCAGTTAATCCGTATTATGGACCATGAGGGACCAGGAGGAGCTTATGAGCAGGAGTACTGTATCTGTCGCTCCAAAGACTGTAGTCGATTTATGATGTATGTATAGCCTTAATTATTGAAGCTTCTTCTTTTTAATTATATCAATTATGAAACTGATTGTAATGCCTTTTTGAGTACAGTCATGCACATTATGCATTTAGAAGCTTGCTATTTTAATGATATAATATGGTAGTAAGATTATCATAATACAGGATTATTATTAGAATTTGTGACTTAGTGTGTGTATTTTTCTTAGTTGTTTTCATTTATATTGTTTGCTTTCTTTCACCAACAGTGGTTGCGACAATTGTGAAGAATGGTACCATGGAGATTGTATCGGAGTCACCCAGAAAGATGCCGAACTTATAAAACACTTCTACTGTACTTCTTGTAGACGTGAGAGACTGCTTTGATTTTCATTTTTTCATATAAATCTGAAAAGATTGCGGGTCAGCACTGTTCCATTTAACATGTTTAAAACTTTTAATGAGCGACTTAAAGTTTATTAATCTCAACCCAAAATTTTAATGTTATGTATATGGAAATGTTGGGATACATGTATTATTGTATGCATTTTATACTTCTGAAGTGAAAAAATCACAGTCTTTAAGTATGTTAAGATTTGTGCTTAGGCCAAAAAAATTAATAGTCTTGTTTCCTGCTACCAGCCTGAAAAAAATATGGTAGGTAGGTCGGAAAATTATTTTATTTTTTTATATTTAATTATTTTATTTTTTTCCAATGGTATTTGTTGGATATGAACTATTACAAAACCAAATTAAACATGTCAATGGTCAATATTATAATTTAAAATATTATTAATAAGTAGTGTTTCTTGCAAGTCCATATTTAAAACATATATATTTCATGAAATACCAACTGAATGTATATTTTTTTCACTTTTTGATCATGAAATTTTCGATTTTCCCTCAAAAACTAAATAAAAACTTTAGGGTCGGGTGCAAAAAAATAGGGTAGGTCGGGTAGCAGGAAACAAGACTATTTTTATTTTTGGCCTTATAAAGTAAGCTGTTTAAAAACAGAAGGAAAATAATTACAGATCCACCATTTGTCAGCTTCTGTAGTCATTTAACATATAATTCAAATATCTACTAAGATTTCTTTAAAAGTATATGCATGAACATGATGTACATCGATAATAGTACTTACATTTACGTTATATTTTAGAACACGATCCAAGTCTGGAAATCAAATACAAACACAAGAAAAGTTCCAAGGAGAAACACTCCTCTCACAAACATTCATCACATTCTGACAGAGAATTCAGAAGCAGAGATGTAAGTTGTTGTTTTCTTTTTAATTTCAACATGTTTGATTTTGAAGAAGCAAATTGTTGTATGTTTTCAGAAAACTACTTCCAGAAAGAAAAAAATTAAAGACACTGTTAATAACTAGGATATTTTTATTATTTTTCTCTTTAAAATAATAGAAATATGAATTTATGTTAATGCATGTACAGATGAAATTTTCAGTTTCTTCTGCATTTCTTTCTAGGATTCTAGTAGTAAGAAGAAGTCGTCGCGGCGTTGTGGGGAGTGTACAGCCTGCCACAGAACAGAGGACTGTGCACGATGTGACTACTGCAAGGTATGTGTACATTTTATATGTATGTGTATAATCAATTTGTAATGACAGGAGTGAAGTGTCCTATTAGGAACTTGTACACACATTCATAATTGCTTCTAGTTATATTCTCAGATTTTTTTTTTGGTGACAATAACTGGCTATCATCAGTGTGTCATTTTTCTGATCTCCTTGTATTAGATCAGAAACTTCCCAAAATTAAGATTCTTTGCTTTTTTATGGAATCTTTTCATCAAGGATAGAGATGATTGAATAAATTTGGGATGTATTTTACATGTCTTATGTCTGATATGAAACAGTTGTACAGAGTTGAACTTTGATGGTTTTCATTGTCAAACTTTGGTCTTAAATGGTTATGTAGAGTGTGAAATGTACATGCAATGAACCTGTTCTCATTAATTATTCTTTGTATTTAATTTTGACAGGACATGAAGAAGTTTGGAGGTCCAAACAAGATCCGACAGAAATGCAGACTACGACAATGCCTCAATTTCGTATGTCCATCATATTGTAAACCAACTTTTATTCACATGTGAGAAATATTCACAAGTTTCGCAACCTAATTTAAGTCGCGAATATTTAATGCCGTGAACCATTTATTTTGCTTTGTTTTCGTAGAAAAAGTTTCCTTATTCATGAAAATTAATCGTAGCAGATTGATTTCAAACTGAAGAATCCCAAATAAAAGATGACATGAATAATAGTTGGTTTACAGTATTCCATAGACCTTCTCAAATTATTTAATATTGTAAACACAGCAGTAATAATTAACAACCATATATTTTAACAAGTATTTCTTTAAGAGATAAAATGTATGTTAACTGATATTTTGTTATGAATATACCGATATTATCTACTTTAACTCCATATGGCTTTGTTCCAGAAAGGGGTATTTAAAAATTCTATACACATGTAATTTGATCTAACAATTACTAAGAAAAAAAATATCATACTATAATCCATCTTTGAGCAGGAAAAACTTTTTTTCAGGGTTTAAATATGATGAATAAAAAATCCATGGAAAAACAAGAGTGTGTTCTGACCACAGAAACAGAGTCTATCAGGACAGAGTATTACAGGTAAGATTTGGATTAACACTCACCTGAATTTCAGCATCCACAATTCTGTAGATTTAGTAACAATACTAGTTATTAATAAGTGTGATTGTTTGGTGAATTGCATCCTACTTCAGAGTTTACATTTTTATTGTCCACCATGAATTAGGCCAAGAATATTATTTGTCATGCCCATCTTTTGTCCTTCCATCTTTCCATTCCATCACCAAATAAATGGAAATTTTAGCAAGATTCAAATTTAGCATTTAGTAGTATTAAAAATGGTATTTTATTTTTAGCGAGACGCAACTTTAGGGATTTTTAAATGCTCGCTAAAGAAGCTATCACAAAAACAATGGAATTAATTTTTAGCAATTAATATTTAATTCTAGCGATCTCAGAAGTATCCCAAAATTAAATTCTCGCTAAAATTCTGCTTATATGGTTAGTTAGCAAAACTCATGAATGCACAGACCTGTATTGATAAGAGCTAATAATTTCTATCTTGACTTTTCCTGTGACCTTGACCTCACTTTTCTCTATTTGGTTTTTACCTTAGTTTCATAAACATACATAGAAACACGTTTCAAATTGCTGAAAGCTCTCACATTGCACTATAAATTAATCTTTGCTGCTGGGCATTCATTTCCTATGGATATATTTCTAGTTAACTAATTTAATGAGGTCATTGAAATGTTTTGTCAATATTGTAGAATCATAGAGTGGTTAGTAGACATGCAAGCTTTAATTTGATATAGACTTTGAATCTTGTTGCTGGTTAATTTGAAAATTTTATTCTGCATGCATTTATTTTAAGTTTTACCAATCTTTTATGTTTTTTAATTATTTAAAAGAAAGGTAATATTCTGCTTAAACTTTAATTTCTAGTATTTTTTTCATAATTCTAATTTTAGTTGAGATTTTTATTTCAATTGTTAAGGTGATGAGTAAATCTTATTTTTTGCTTCAGTGCTGTTTGAAATTGTACAAATACATATAATGTGGTAAAAGTCTTTTTTCCTTCAAGAAAAAGGAAAAACATTTACATAAAAGCATGACCGTTGGGATACAGATAATACAGATTTCTTTCTGTGATATTATTGTAAATGAATATAAATATATATATTTGCTATATACATGTACTTCCATAGCATATACATGTATGCAGCAAGTTGCATGATTCTCTACATGTGTAAACAATAGTAAAGTAAATGACTTTTATTTGTGAAAAATTCAAATTGTTATTTCACTATGCTTGTAATTTGATTTAGGCTTTATTAAAAATTAATCAGTGATGATTAACGATTATAAAGAGCCGTGTGTCCTCATTATGTGATGATTTTGTACTTCCAGTGGTGTTCGCGATGACGACGATGACTTTATGGATGTCGATGATGATCCAGATTATGGCTCAGAGAACATTGAAAAATCACCAAAGGTAAAAACTCACATCCGCGTATTGTTAGTATCAATCAAAACTCAACGAATCAAACACAGCTAAATTCCTAAGTTTTATATAATATACTAGTAAATGAGAAATTTAACACTTGATTGATCAACAGTCCACTTGTGAAACTCGGGTCTTTTCATACCACAAAAATAGCGAAAATTGGACTCCCATGTTAATTTTGTAATTTCACTGTAAGGAGGTGGATTGAACAGTCTCTGTTGTGGTTGTTTTCAGGGTAAGAGGGGGAGGAAGAAAAGTATGTCAGAGAGTGGGTCAGCTAAAAAGAAGTACAAGAAAAGAGGACGCAAGCACTCACCAGACAAAAAGACAAAGGTAAAAGGTCTTACTTTGTAGATACTGTAAAAGCAGAAATATTCATGGGGGAATAAATTTCGTTTATTTTTTTTTTCAACAATTATCAACAAAGTCCCACACGATATTATACATGTATATGATTCTATGTTGAATAGGGTCACTTTTGAAACAATTAATTTAAATTAAATGCCCATGTAACCTCTTTAAATGGTTAATCAACGAAATTTTATCCATATGAAAATTTGTGCTTCTACAGAAGGCAACAACAAAAAAAACCTATAAAATTCTGAAGGTTGATGTACATTTGCTTAAGTGCATAGGTATCTGTTTACACTTTAATTATTGTTCATAGAAAGCCAAAGAGAATGCTTCTTTTGAATCGAAGAGGAAGAGGTCTGAGATAGAAGAAGTTCGTGAGAGTGAGATTGATGAGCCAAAACAATGCTTTGGGCCTGGCTGTATCGAGGCAGCCAGACCAAATTCCAAGTATTGTTCAGATGATTGTGGTCTTAAACTAGCCAAAAGGTATGGTCATTTCATTTTATACATGTACACAATACACTGATCATTAAAATAAGCAGGAAAAATAACCACAAATAAGATGTGTTTGTGAAACACTGATGACCCCATATGGCAACATAATGTGGGTTAAACTTTCTCCAATGCAAATCAAATTTGTTGATACCCAAAGTAAGGC